ACTTGTTGCACTTCCTCCAACACTAAAATACAAAATTAAGGTAAAGTGATCCACCTGCTACTCAGGATTCACCCCTGAACACCCATCTCTGCCCGAAACACATTGATATTTGGCTGTTAGAGGAGATAGCAACAGCCCTAAGAGCTGCTGGGCTGCCTGCCTGCTCTGTAGATTTCCTGCAGCAGCATCCTGGAAGCACAGCCGTGTCCACAGTCCAGGCAGGGAGGTGAAGGCTGTGGCCATCCATCTGCCACCTATGGTCACTACCTGTGGCTAATAAATTTTAAATTTGTTGCATGGGAAAGTCAGATGGGTCCTAATGTTGAGATGTTGGCCTTAGCAAAAGGTGAGGTTGCTTAGAGTAATGAATCTAATTGCATTAGCGATTTTTAAAATAGAGATATTATTTTAAAAAGTTACCTGTTAAAATCCTCAAGGTAGTAACTCCTTTCTTTGTGGGAATTTTTTATTAGCTGTTCCAGGACGTAAGAAAGGAAGGAAGGAACTTTACTTAACTCTTCACGTGAATGTTAGCTTTATAAAATCCCCGTTATCATTTGGGTCTCCTTGAAAGTTTTGTCATCGACTTAAAAACAGGATTGGGCCTTCTGCTGTAAGTATCTTTAATATAAGTTGCGTGTTTTCTTCTTCATTCACCCTTCAGGCTGATTTTGGATGGTGCTCCTCTTATAGCTATACATAAAGCCCGGTATTTCAAGAAAAAAAATGGCTTGGCTCTGGGACCTGGACCTTTTGTGACTGGGCTGGAATATGCAACAGACACCAAAGCAACAGTGGTGGGGAAGCCAGAGAAAACTTTCTTCCTAGAAGCTCTACGAGGGACCAGCTGTGCCCCAGAGGAGGCCGTCATGATTGGTGATGTATGTGGAGACCTAATGCCTTCTCACCTGCCTGCTAATATAGTGTGTGCACCTCCCAGGTGCTGTGAACCCATCTTTCTGAAAGCTCTGCGATTAAATGAAGGGTGAAAACTGAAACGCCCAAACTGGCATGATTTAAGGTGTAGTCCGTGGGGTTAGTTCTCTTACTTCAGTGACTTCTGGAGAAGCCCTAAGTGTCCTGCCTGAGAGCATGGAAAGCCTGCTGACAATTAGCTCCTGCTAATGAAGTGTCTCTGATGCCCTTTCTAAAATCACCCAGTGACTTAACAGCTCTGTTCCTGCATTGATTAGGTCTCACTGTTTGATTAGGCAACAGCACATAGCAAACCATACCTGTGGCAGTTTGCCTAATAGGTTGCTAAGGGATTTGACTCGGTGTAGCTGTGTTTAAGTGACTGGTCGGTGATGTGCAAGGCAGAGAATGTCATGAGCCTCTGGTTAACAAATTATGCGTCTGACCACAAATAATCTCCCGTTCTGTTGCAGGACTGCAGGGATGATGTTGGTGGGGCACAGAATGCAGGCATGCGTGGGATTTTGGTGAGGACGGGTAAGTACTCGATGGTATGCTCATTTCTGGGGACAGAGGTGGATTCCATGACCTTGTCCTTGCACTGGCAGCCCACGTGCCCAAAGCAGAGGGGCCTGGGTGTAGCCCTAGGCATTTTTAGAGGCCTGCCATCCCTGTGGTCTGGTGCACCAAGAATCTGCAGGGAGAGCCTGAGCATATCATGGAGCGACTCCTTTTGGGGTGAATGAAGCAGATACATTTCCTCAGCTGCAGCTTTACAGCCTGTCAAGCAGTAAATTGCAATTAAGCCAGGATAGGCTGCAGATTATATTTAATGTTTCAACGACAGGGCTAGAGTGCAGACTCTGACCTGATCGCAGGGTGGTATGAAGTGATGGGTGGGAGTGGTTGAACACGTAGATGTGAATCTTTTTCAGCGACTCTAAAATCCTGGGCACTAGTCAAAGAATCCAGAGAATTGTTATTGTGACATCTTAGATTGCCAAGATTGGCCATATCAGTGTAACCTCTGCTCATTCAGGAAGTTTGATGACATTCCCCAGTAATTACATGGGTCATTATCTAAACTGGAACCTTGAGCAGCCTACAGGTATCATGAACATTACTGATACTGTGATAGAACCACCTCTTTCTGAGGGGCTCGTGCCACACGGTCCAATATGTTAAAAATGAAAACGAGTAATCCTGCTTTTTCTCATACGAGTCAGCAGGAAAGATGACAGCATTATCATTTCAAGAACTTACATTGTTGAGTAATCAGTGAAAGTATAGCACCAGTATAGCACAGCAGGTTGAAACCACTGCATAAGCACCTCTGTGCTTGAGCTGGAGCTGACCCTTGGCAGAAACTTCAGTAAAGTTCCTTGTATGTTTGGAAGAGACCTGTGAGATGTTTGTTGCAGGAGAACATCAGATGGGCGTCCCGTGTCTAGCTGTTACTGACCCCAGAAGGCTGCTGTTTTCAAAGGGAAAAAAAAAAGGATGCCCCAAGGAGCTTGATAAATGCATCTGTTTGTTCATTTGTTACAGGTAAATATCGACCAGGAGATGAAGACAAAATCAATCCAGCTCCTTATTTAACCTGTGAGAGTTTCCCAGAGGCAGTGGAACATATCCTAGGACATATGCTATGAGAAATGGAATAGTTCGAAGAAGCAGATATTTCATCGTTTCCTTTACTCTTGCTTCACAAATTAAGGTCACAGGATCAGTGCATGCATTGGATCAGAAACCTAGCCCTCAACTCCTTCCCTTTGAGCTGGGAACGGGAAGAGCATTGGCACATGGCCCCAGTGCAGTCAGAGCAAGGCCCTTTTCCGGTAGTAGTTGCATGAGGATGTGATTAGGGATCTTAGCTGCTCAGCAGATAAGATACCAAGCACCAGAAGAACTACAACACAGCTGCTTTCATGCCTGACATAGAGAGCGTGGCAGAGAGTTCTGTTTGTTTTCAGGAAATGGCTGATGAAAAAAGCCCACTCTGAAAAGTGTTGAGTTCTTCTGCTGAATAAGCTAAACTGTAAAACTCACTGGCAATACTCAAGTAAGAAAACTGCAAAGACTAACAGAGCATTAGACTGTAGCAATTGCACTGAGTATGTCTCTGCTGTAATTTAAAGGCAGTGATTATCAGATCTAGAATTGACTTTTAAATTAAAATATTACCATTGTTAATAATAACTACTGTTAGAATCTTTCCTCTCATTAGAGCAAATCCTGTTTTTTGTTTTTCAAATTTTACATAAAATTAAAACTGTCAGCATTTTACAGATGTTTTAATTAGATGCTGTTATTAAAAAGAATGGTACACCAACAAAAATCTGGTATTAAATGCCTTAGAGACTGTGAATTTTTTAAGTTAGACTTCAGCAGGGTCCTATTAATGCTACAGTTGCAGAATTTCACCACTGTTGTTTTTTTCTTTCTTCTTAATGTTATGGGAAAAATCCTTCGCAAGCCATGGGGACAGATTCCAGTTCTTACACAGTTGGTTAGCAGAGCTGTAAAATGAGATTTAATTGTGTAGTATGCATTGCTTCTCCTATGTGCTAAACCTACCAATATGAACCAACTTTGTAATGATGGTAAATAGCTTTTCTGGTCCATTTGCAAATTGTAATAATCAAAGTCCTTTACAGTTGTTTTACAATGCTCGTGAGTCTTAAATTATTAGATTGTAATTATACAGTACTGGAGTATTAACCTTATTGAAAATATAGTTTTGTGTTAATGAGCCATGCTCCTTATTTGTTAAGAAAAATCATTGTGGTGAATGAAGGGGAAGCTCTCCTTAAATGAAAGATGGTCTGTCTGCAGTCTCAGTTGGTGGGTGGTTACTTACCTTTAGATTTAATCTCTGTCAGAGACAGAACGCGGGGCCTGGGGGAGCTCTGCAGTAAAGTGGGAGAATACACTCCCCCCCAGGAACAAAAGCCATCTTTAGATACTGTTTGTGTTGCATGCTGTATAATGAAGTCAAAGATACTGCTAGACACCCCCTACACACACCCACATCACCCAGGAAGAAAGCAGCACTGAGAGGCTAATGTCTCTGCCAAATGTACCATTGGTAAAAAAAGAAACCCCCCAAGAAAACACAAATACATGATAACTGGGGGCCTTATCTTAGGTGCCATCATAAATTGTAACCTGCTGTTGTGAATAAATTCACACATCTAACGTTCTGCCAGCAATTCTGAATCTGTGTTTGTTGCCTGGAGTACATACAGGAGGTTTTTGGCCTGTAGTCAGAGTCAGGTTAGGGAAGTGAGGAATCTCTAAGTAAAATCCTGTGAGGTAATTTCCCACAAACACTTCTGACAGTGTGAGACAATGCAATGCTACAACAACAGGAGACTGTCACTTCTCCAGAGGTCCAGGAGCATGCTGGAGAGCATCATGGCACTTAGGAAAGCAGTGACATGGAAAACCATGCAAGAGGAAAGGTAAGAGGGGGACAGTGATGAGACATGAAAGCCTGAAAAAATGACTTAGGTTTTCCAATAAAAAGCTTGACAGGCAGGTGACTGGATACCTGGCCATGATTATCAGCATAGAAGTCTCCAACTTGGGTAATACCGCAGCACTGCACAGACTCACCTTTTTTTATATGACTCACCTCACATTTTATGACTGGCTGCAAACCAGTGGGTTACCAGCAATCCAGTTTCTAGCCAGAGTACCCTAGATGATGCTGTTTTTCCACAATGACTCCAAATTCTTCTGATCCCTTGCACTTTCCACCTTGGAAGTGTCCCAGACCAGCTGGGAAGTAATACATTGTGCACATCAAGATGATCTTTAAGGTCCCTTCCAACCCAAACCAGATGAAAACAGCAAAGTTTACTAGGCACTATTAAACTGAATTTCATTGAAAACAATTGCTTTTGCTTCATTTAAAAGGCATGCAAGCCTCTGTTGGTAGAGCTGTGCTGGTTGTGATGCTTTAGTGAGTCTCAGAAAGGGAGAATTACGCTAACCATCTAATTGTTGTTAGCAAGCTTTCCGCTCCAGCTCTTGTACTCCAAACCTGTAAACAACTGCCATGAAAAAAGACTAAAAATCAATCAAGCTTTAAGTCTTTATGTATAAAGTTAAGGCTAGAGTTTTCATTACATAGCAACTGACATTCTGCCATTACATTAATTCTGTAAAGAATATTTTTGAACAGTCATTGAAAATGGCTAATAAAAACAACCCTCCCTCCCCCACTGCATTTTCAAAGATTTCTACCTGACATTTCTCACGGCATTCTCTCCCCAAAACAACAGCATTTCCTTCTCCATCACCATTCAGTCCTTTGGAGGTGACACAGATGTCATTTGGGATAGCAAAAGTCTTTCAGGATTTTTCTCTTCAAACTGACTCAAACTCTCTCTGCCAAGCTGTATATTTCTGGCTCAGCTTCTTTGCCGATGGCTTGGTATGGGCAATCACATCCAGGAAATCTGCTGTTGTGATTGTATCCAGTCGGATCACAGGTAAGTTACTGTTACCTAGAGAAAATAGATCAAGTATCATTATTACTACCAAAAGACATTCTTTTAAGTCTAACATACAACTTCCTATATAAAAACAGCAGAATGAACCTAGTGAGATAAAGATACTGACATAAAAAAAGGCTAATTTTCAGAAACATTAGCTTTGGTAAATGTTTTAGAAATGGAGATTGAAACTTCTCTAAGCAGATAATAGAGCTCCACCTGCTGGGGTTAACGCAGTTTCTAGAGTTAGAGCAGTAGATGAGCATTTGCAGATCAGATTCTCTAATCAAAGCTGTGGTACCTTGCTGATGGTTTTCAAGAGCATCAAAGATTTTCCTCACTGGTCTCATGGCTGCTTCCTTGCACACGAGTTTAATATCTGAACCAGAGTACCCCTCGGTTTCCTGTGACAGAACCAGAATGATAAATTGCAGCTTACAGCCTTACAAATCAGATGACAACGGCATTTACCAGCATCTATATTTTATTTGTATTTTTATAAAGTATCTGTAAATTCTATTGCTGTCAGAAATGTATCACAGAATATAGAATGAGGATATTCAGAGTTGGAAGGGACCCACAGGGGTCCTTGAGTCTGACTCCTGGCACACACCAAGTATGTATAGATAGGCACATATATATGTGTGTACGTATATATACACCCTCCTACACATCCCTTCCCCACCCCAGCATTACTGTTTGCTCTAGCTTTGAATGCCCGCAGTACTTTTCAGGTGCAAGGGAAATACCAAGCATTTTCTTTCTAAGTGACAGTTTTCTGTAGGTCAACTAAAACTCACCTTTCTGTGTCTGTTTCCGGCCTTCATGTTAATAAAATAAGTACATTTCCTCATTTATAAAACAAAAATTGAGCGGAATTGTCTCTGAACAGAAGTAAAAAGAGACAGCTGGGCAAGCTGTAGATATTTCCAAAGAATTTAGGATGTGACAAGGGGCTAAATAAAGCAAGCCTGATTTCCTAGTGAATCTCACCCTTGTCTGAAAGCTGTTTTCTCCTGCTGCAGTGGAGCTGTGACAAACCTTCCCTACCCAATTAATTGTTCATTACCCCAGTGATTTGGAAGTGCTCCCAGCCCGGTGAGAAGAGTGAGAGAACATACTATTGCTGTAAGTCTCCCTGTATTTAAGGCTGAAAAATTGGCCCAACAGAGAGGATCAGAAAACATGATTTTGCAGCAGAGCTGTGGAACCAGTGATTTCCACAGAATTTTGCAGGAATGTACCTGCAAAACACCTAGCCCTGCCTCTCACTAATTTCTGGCTGGCCTTGGGCAGACCTGAGGTCTTTCCCCTAGCTCTGTCTGTTGCAACTGCCGCATACAGAGGTGCTGACCCTACCCTCTGCCCTGGACCTGTTCCCCCATGACACAGTTCTATCGCTGTTGATGGTACAGGTCACTCCTGCTTACATTTCCCACTCTGGAAGTCCCCAGGCTGCTGCAGCGCTGTCTCACCTGGCCCAGCAAGCTGTAGTCCAGGTCTGTTCTCAGCTCCACTCCTCCGCTGTTGCTCAGAGGGGGCAGCCAGTGCTGGATCATCGCCCGCCGTGCCTCTTTACTTGGAAGGTCGACCAAAATCCGCTTCTCCAGCCGCCGCAGCATGGCAGAATCCAACTCCCTGCAAGCAAAGCAGAAGAGGAATCATTTCAGTGCATTTCTTTGCAGAGATACTTTTCACAGGAAGCTCCACACAGCGGGGACTGACAATTTTCAACCCCACCTGTAGCTGTGCCAACCTAGTTTTGAAAAAATAGATTAGTTGCCAAGTGCATTCCTGACACTGTGTTAGCAATACACTGACGTGGTGACAACAAGGCTTAACAATAACTTGTAAATTGTAACTTGTAACTTGAAGCTGCAGCTATCGTGTGTGCAGCATGTCCTGTCAGTAATAACCTCTTCGTTTCAACCTTTGCTGTTAAGGAGACACAGCAAATTGTCTGTCTGGGGTAATATGTCAGGACTAATTAATTGCTGCTTTGTAAGGGATGCTTAAAATATAGACAGAAACAGACTTTCAATCTGGGATGCAAGGACCATGTTTATGGCAGAACGGGAGCTTGATCTGAGGCTGCTGCCGCAATGCAAATTGTATATCATACAGCCACGAAGGACAGTAACCTTGTAAAAAGGACCATGTGAAAAGTGAACAGGCTGGATCAATGTGCCAATGAGCCAAAACCTCTGTTGATATCAGCTCTGATACGATGTTTGGCAAAAGCAATACCAAAAAACAAAAACAAAAACAAAAACAAAAACAAAACATCACAAAATACAAAAGACTGAGAATACTCCTCATTTTTACTTGTTTGTGATGCACAATGAAGCCTGAAAGAAAAAAAAAAAAAAGATTTTTTTCCGCTCCTTTCTCAAAGCATTTTGTGACCACCTAGATGAAGTCTTTCTAGACAGCACCACAGATCCTGTCAGTTTGCAGGAGTCCTGGTACGCCTGGCATGCCAGCTCTGCAGATGCACATCCAAGTGGGTTATTTAATCTAGCCTTCTCCCAAGTGCTCCTCAGTTGTCTGCATCTAACAGTGACATAACTGAACACAAATTCCTACTCTGGTTCATCTCTTGTTACTCATATAATGGGAAAAATCTACAGGTATCCCAATCATCCATACAATTTTCAAGAAGAAATAGCAGCTACAAAGTATTTACTCATAAGTCTCCAGTACCTTCCAGGAGCTGCTCTGAGCTATTATCCTTCCAAATGCAGTACCAATCTTTCTCTAGTGGCCCCATTCAGACACTGAATTGTTATTTCAGTTTAAAATTTAGTTCCCCACGCCTGCCAAGAAACTCTCATCAAGGAGCAACTCTCTGCAATGTGTCTTGTGCTAAGAGGAAAAAAAAAAAGGAGCCCTAAGCACCATTTCCACCCCTGTCAGCTGAGCAGAAAGAGCCAGCTGCTGGAGGACTGTGCCTGCAGTGTAGGTACACTTAAACCTGCCTCTACCTTTGATGATTCCTTGGCTGAAATCCTTTCACCAGCAAAGTCAACACACAAGCAATACTTCTGGTATAAAACCCCTCTTGAATTTACAGGCAACTGACTGCCAGCTCAGGACAGACCTGGAGCACACCAACAAAGCTTATTTCTGTCACCTTTGGTGACTTGTTCTTATTTTTAATAATATCTTCTACTGGCACACAACATAGGAAAAGGAAAAACAGCCACCCAGGTAGGTGCTGTCACTCAGCTGCCCCTGTCCCCAGAAAGGACCTCTCAGTTTTGGAGAGCTGAGTCAATGGCTCAGGATGATCGATAGGATTGTCCATGCCAACAGGAATTCACTCAGATCCTTCCCAGTACTCCTAATCAAGGACTCTGATCTAAATACCAGAGCTTTGCTAATCAATGGCTGTTGGTGTATTGATACCATTACTGAGATTTCAGGCTGCTTAAGAGGCATGCTGAGCAGCCCTGGGGTTTGCCCTACACTGTGGGTTTGCCCAGTGCAGCGCCTCTCACACAGGCTGCAGAATGGGCACAGGACCATTCCCCTCTCCCCTTCCAGATGTTTATTTCAGCAGCTTCTCAGAACTGCTCTGCTAGGCTAGAAATTAATTACTCTGCAGCTGACCACCCCTTTGGCTGCTATTTTCCCACATTGCCTTCCTCCATGTGCACAAACAGAGCCAGATTTCTCAGGGTTTCAGAGGAGCCCCTGCAGGTACTCTAACTGCTCTTGCAGGAGAAGGGCAACCACAGCCACAGTCCCCGCAAACACCCCATGAATCCACCAGATGTGGACATTTTCCACCACTCCAGAGCACTGTTGGGCTGCCCCTTGACATCACAGCTTCACGAGCTCCCTAGCCACCCACAGAGGAAACAACCTTGCCCTTAGTGGATATTAACACAGCAAAAACACAGCCACCGAGAGGCGCTGGGCCCCCAGGCAGTATTTCCAGCTGTTCCTCCTACTGCTGTGTTTTAGTTCTGCAGAGATGTAAGTGGTGAAATAGAGGTCTAAGAAGTGCTCATAACTCAAGGAACTGCTCTGTAAATGAGCCCACTGGTACATACAAGTTGCTCTGCTTACCCAGAAAGGTTACAGTGACCCTGCTTGTTGGCTTAGAGAGGAAAACAAAGACGTAATGTTTCGGTTAGCTTAAAAGTGTTTATGTGCTAAATTGTTTTGTTAGTGATCAAATGCAAGGTTAAGTGACAACAATAACCAGAACAGAACAATAAGCACTGCGCCAACCAAAATATTATGGGCTCTCATTTCAGAGAAATGTGTTAAGAAATGCTTACAGAAATAATCTCTACAGGACCTACAGAAGAGGGTGACTTCTGGGATCTCTCCCAGGCTGACATCACAAGGCATCGTGCCTGATCATCACTGCCACATTTCATGGAGGTAAATGAGGCAAACAGCTATTTTTGTTCCCATAAGGAGGAATATTAATAAATGCACTAGGCAGAAATTCAGAGACCTCAATACCTACAGAGGTGAAGCCAGAAACAGCAACAAGAGCTCACTGATAATTAATCCTTGCCTACGGGGATCATCACTGAGGTGCAGAAGAGGGAAAGGCACCAAGAGCAGCAAGCTTCTCATCATCCCACCTCCTGTCCTCCCATGCAGAGCCGCCACAGGCTGAGGGCTTATTCTAACTCCCTGTCTTCTCCTGGGGCTTCCCCACACTGCCCTCAGCTCTCCTTCCTCACTGCCCTCCACCTTATACACCAGGCACACACTGCTGGGAGTGAAGGGAAGGGCTGGCTGTGGGGTAATCCCCAATGTGATTTTGGATTTGCAGCCCACCTTCTCTGACTCCCCCTTGACTGTGTGCTGAGGGATCTAGCACAATGCAGCTCTGGTGGATGGGAAGAGTCTATCAGCTGTCACCAGAGCTTCACCAACCCTGAGGGTGGGGAAAAAGCAAGCAGCACTGCAATGGAAGTTAAACACACCAATACGCTAGGAAACATTCACTACGTGGTTAAGGACCACTTTATTTCTTCATTAACAAGGCCTTTATTCTACGTAATTATGTTGAATCATTTCAACAAGGAACTTGTCAATAAGAAGTGCCTGGCTGATGAGCAGGGGGAAGCAAGGCTGGGCAGCAAGCACTGCCTGAAGAGGAAGATCAATAGCTGCAGTGCAGCTTAGGACAGCATAAAGAGCTTTGTTTAGGCTTCTTTTCATTCATCTAAAAGCAGCTTGGTACTTTTTTTTTTTTTTCATGATCAATAAATATCCAAGTTAAACAAATCTCTTGAAATCCAGCTTAATACCAAATGTTTGCAAAAACACAGAGCTGTGCTGTGCAACCGCAAGGTCTGGATTGTAAAACGAGGTATTTTGAAACTTTTGTTACAAAATAGCCCTACGCAGCTCAAGTCTGGGGTCTCACAGTAAGACTGTTGGTAGCCAAGCACACAAAAATAATCCAAAAACACACAGGTGAGATCTTTAAACCCCACCAACCTCTCTGGAAGCAAACACTCCCAAACTCCTCAAGGCTGTCAGCCTCAAGGATGATATAAAATGCTCCTGGATTTCACCAGATTTTCATCTTCCTAAAGTACCTTTCTGCGTATATCTCCATCTGCATTTTAAAGCATCAGCATTTTAAAGCATCTCCACTCTTGGCACAGTTCTGCCAGGTGTTCATAGGTTGAATTAACTTTGGAGAGGGAAAAAATCCCACCTGCCCACAAGCAATGCTGAAAAAGTCTGAAAAAAGAAAACCTAAGCTCACAGGTATCAAACTTTCAGCAGTGGGAACTGGCTTCTCACAACAGCCCAGCTCCCACCCTTGTACCAACACAGATTGCCATCTTTCTGTGGGAGCAGTTCCTCCAAAATAGAAATCTTGTCATTTTGGGTCTACCTGAGAAAAGCTGTGTCATTTTCTTGATGTTTCAAGGGAGCAATTTTGCAGAAATTAGCACTTCAGAATTGCAAAATGATCCAAACCCAAATGTGTAAAACATTCAAAACTCGAGCCTGTAACTTCTGCTCAGCTTTCCAGAAAGAGTTTCAGTTGCATAAGACAGATGCTTGGCAACAAGACACACATAGGAATCTCTTTTTCTGCAGAGGCGTGCAGAGAAATCAGCCCCATGCTTGCATTAACACATCTCCAAGATCCCCAGATCCAGCACCTTCAGGCCAGTTGTGCTCTTTGAACTCTTCCTCTGAGGGTTTCAATACCCAGTTACACCAGAATACTGGTATTCAATACCCAGTTTTTCTTTTCAAATCAATGGATCCTGTAAAGACTTCTGATTCTCTTTAATACTGCCATGTTGCAGCATCACTTGTAAGGCTACTCAGAAGTTAATTTAAGCAAGAGACCACTGAAAGGTGCAGTGCATTGCTCAGAGTTTCTCCTTCTAGAAGGGTAACACACATTTGTAATGTATTACTAATGAACCACAAAGAGATGAATGGGTTATTAATGTATTAATACCCTTTCAATCTTAACTGTTCACACACACAGTAGCTATTTTTTTCCAGCATTTTCTGATACAACTGTAATATAATTAAGTCCTAGTCTGCTCAGTTCTTTTCCTTGGGTGTCACAAGCAAGAAGCGTGTTTGTACATTACACAAAATAAAATTTACACTGAGGCTTTTTAAAAAGTGCTCAAAAGCAAGCAGCTGTGGATACACACACTGAGTCATTTGAACATGGACACTTCCTATGGTCAGCAACAGCCTTGTGATCGCAGCCCAGTGCCCTCAGCCAGTTTTGGATGGCTCTGTTCTGTGGTTGTCACACTTCAAGAACAAGAAGGAGCAATGACAAAAGAACCCTTCATATTCCTATCATCTCTTTCACAGATGTCTGTCTTCGTGACTGTCCCCCACCAAGCATAATATCCAGTTTACTTCACTACAGTTCCCCTCTCTGCTTTCAACGTACCAATTTCTCTGTAGAAAAAAATGCCCTTCCACTGCAGATTTCATGGATCTGTAGCCCAGGGACATAGGGAATTTCAGGGCCAGCAGAAATCCACAGGCTAGTTCCAGACCTCTGAAAGCTAACCTAACTTCAAAAACAAGCTCATCATCCATTTGTTTCAACTCCCTGTACAGGTGTTGGCTCCTACTCTGAAAAAAGGTTAATGAGCTACAAATCAGACTGTTAAAAGCAGCTGTGCTTGTACAGCAGCCATTATTTTTCCCATGTACCATTTACAACCATTTGAGAAGGTTTGTATGAAAGCAAGAGAAATACACTAAACCAGTTCAGATAAGTGATCCAACCAGATCAACATTCTGGCTGCCAGTAGCCGTGGGAGAAGCCATCTAAGGAGAGCAGAGAGCTGGCCATTTTCTGCTGCCTGTTGTCATCTTCTCATCCTCTCCTCTCTGTCTTGTTCTCAGTACCTGTTCCGCCCATTTTGAGAGCCAACATGATGAAATATTCCAGTTCTAATTTCCAACCATTTATTCTTCTTTTCCAAATTATGTTAAAAGAAACAATGAATTTTGTCCCTCAACTTCTAAAAGTCACATTTGATACCAATAAAATCCAACTTTCCTATTTATGGAGTATCCTTCTAAGCACCAGATGTTTTAAGCACCTTACAGCTCCAGGCTGAAACCCTTCTTAGCTTAAACATAGTAAATAACTTGCCTCTAAAGTCAAATACTCCATTTTAAATATTAGCAGCTGGTAGCACCAGCATATGTTGACTTTATTATGGATTATTCTCACGTGGCACAAATAGCAAGAATTGTAGAGTTTAAAAGTAAAAGCTCCAAATTAATCTTTAAATGCTTTAACCAAATATCAAGGCTTTTTCTGCAAAAGTCTAAATAAAATCTTTATCTGTGCTTAGAAGCTCATGCAAATGTATTCAAAATGTACTCTCTGGATCTCTTACCATGGCAGATTGGAAGCTGCTAAAACAAATACAAGATCATCAGATCGGGCCAAGCCATCCATCTGCACCAGTAATTCTGTTTTCATCCGTCGACTTCCTTCATGTTCACCACTACCAAGATTCAGAGAAACATTATTTGCTCAGTGCATTAAAGTAATCATCTTTATTTATACAGTGTCATTCACAGCAACTGAGCCCTTGTCACCATTTTGCCCCAATTCAAAGCATGATTAAGCTCCATTAGCTAACATCTAAGCATTAAAATCAAGCTTTCTAATGATTACTTAAATGGACTCTCTTCAGTGCATTAAAGTGAGGAGAGTTCACCATTACTGAATCCAAAGAAAGTATTTAATTTTTTTTCTTTATATTAATCTCCAAATAAAACTGATGTTTACTAGAAAACAACTAAGGCTTTGATTGATTGACCTGTGTAGGAGAATTTTTATAACAAAACAGTTGCGATTAAACAACTAACACACCTACCTATTCAGGGCAACTACTGGAATTTTTCTGTGAGTGAGTTTTAAGTGGCCACAAGAAGATACACATACTGCTTAATTCAATAGTTTGCAAAATGTTGTATCAAAAGTAAACAGAAGAGTTTGCAGTACTGAAACAAATTGAAAAATAGGGCAGAGACCACACACAAAGGAGCCTTCTTCAAGGAGAGAAGGGGAACTTAAGCAAAGTGCTAAGAATACTGGCCCTGATCCAGGTAACCAATTTTGAAGGAAACCAGTTTGAACTCTTGGTCCCAGATGTGGAGTTCTTGGTAACCCCTGGACCAAATCCAGAGAAAACATCAGGGCCTTAGATGGTAAGAATTATAATTCAGGTTTAATGGCTTATTTCTGCAAAGGCATCCACACATTGGTGTAATGTCAATATTTAATAAGGATATGTAAAAATAACTGTATAGTCTCAGATAAAAACCCTTACTGAAATACATAATCCAGTGATGTTAATGAGAGCTTTTAAAAAAGTATGAAGGCAAGACTTGGCCCATAATTTATAGCTATCAACTGACAATTACTACAAGTTGTGTATTTATGATATGGCATATTCTATTTATGCATCTTCGTAAGTATATAATTTATAGTATATAACGTACATATAGCAACACTGTAATGGGCTCCTAATGGGTATAATGGTATTTTTGTATTTCTCCTGCTTCTCCTCCGTGTTCAACCCTTTCAGCTTTTTTAAAATAAAACTGTCTACTCCATGGATGACGATAATAACAACCTCCATTCCTCCAACTCTAAGTCCTGACAATAATATAAAAATTTGTCACATTAATGAAAATACCATTCCACTGCGTACACTACATCTTACCCTGCTCTGCCTCAGCCTGTCCAAAGCGTCACAAAAACAGCTGCTTTTCATTTGCTTCTAACAAGATGCCTGTTATGTCCCACAGCTGTCTTTACTTCCACTTCAAATACCTTATTTGAAAATACAACAGCACTGGTTATGTATTTGTGCTCTTCCCTCCTGCTTACAGTCTTCCTGGACCTGTTATTTCCATAGTCATATGCTAAACTTCTCAGAACCTGCCTTTCACACTACTCTACTGATCTCATCTACTGTGAATGAAACAATGACCACATCTCTTTTTAAATCCCCATAGCATATGCAACATTTTCACAGAACAGTATTTTCGGAGCTGATAGGCATTCTGAAAGTAATACACTACAAGTCTGTTAAAGCTGACAACATAACAGAAGAAAAATAACTTAATAGTAAGTCATGAAAATTACTGTTATCACTCAAAATAACTATACTGTCAATAAAAAAAATCTAAAAGACAAGTCTTTCAGGGGCCCAATCATACTCCTATTAAAGTTTACAGAGTAGTCTCATGCCTTACTTGAGCTAAAATTTGTTTCTAGAAGGTGTATTGTATGATTAAAATTTGGTCAGCACTACTAAAAAGATGCATTGCAAAGGGGGACATATATTTTCCTAACACCATAGGAAGCGATCTCATCATTTACCCAGAAACAGTGCCTCTTTGACTCATAACTGAGTCCAGCTCATCCAAGAAAATTGTGGAAGGAGCATGGTACCGGGCAAGCTCAAATAGCACCTGTTTAAAGAGAAGAATAAAAACGACAGAAAAGATTAACAAGAAAACTAACAGGAAAAGGCATTAAGAGCCACTTGCACTGGAGATAAATAATGGTACCCATACTCCAAACTTCTAGGGCAAAAAGGAGTATGTTCTAGGGCAAAAGATCTGGGTAGGCTGAGAGTCCCTGAATCCTCTCAAATTCTGAAAGGTTTGTAAAGGAGATATAAAGAACACAGGCATGTAATCCGGTTTTTATATGTAAATCTTTGTCTAAATCCTATCAGAGTACCCTGAGAATAATGGGATAGAAGAAAATGATCCATCAGAGGATTCTGGGAAGTCCTAAATTTTTAGCAGAGATTAAACATCCTGTCTTCTATTGGTGCTCCATTTGTAGTTTTTTAAATAAGGATTTGAGGAAAATAATAAATCAACTGCACCATAATGAAAAAAAAGAATGGATTGCTTCTCTTGATAAGAATTAAGAAGTTCTTTTGTTTTTCCTGGAGAAAACAACAGCTTGAACAATCAGGACTAGATTACAAAATGGAATATTAAGCTGACACACAAAACCTGGGCCTGCCATTTTGAAAAAAAAAAAAAAAGTTTTATCTATTATTCTGTAAAAAGGGAGAGACTTATATTAACAATAAGAATATATAGTCATTTCTTCTTCAGTGAAGCATTCTTGCAATTTTTAAATAAGTATCACTAACAATATATATATAAATCCAGCATTTTTTAATCTGAACATTTAAAAACAAAACTTAAAAGATAAATATTATTTTTTGCACTTTGGATCACGAGTAGTGTATGATCAGCATTGTGACTCATACTGTTTAAAGAAGCAAAAGTTTGCAATTAAGTCAAACACTGGATCATGTAATAATTTTGCCATGTGAGTAACTTTTCCAAGATGGTTGCTGAAACAAAAATTGGATGCTATGGTATCAGTTTTGTTTGTGTATCTTCTTCCACTGCTGTTGTGCTAACAGTTTGCAACCTATAATTTTATTATGAACCTAAACTATAAAATCACATCAATACAGCTGAGAAATGAGGAAAACAGACTGAGCTGATATTTCTCTGCATGAGTGCAAAACTGACATATACTTCACACAACTTCAGAAGACCATGCACCAGCCTTGTGTTATTTTAGGATATAAATTCATATGGTACTTTTCTTAGAGCTGTCCTGATCCACAATCTAATTTTATTTCTGTATTCTGCCAAAGACTCAACTCAGGGTGAAATACCACAGATTCAACATAATTGGAAGTGCTGTAGCATGTTCACAAAAACCTTTTTGATGGTGTTGTGTCAGAAACCAAATCCCTTTTCCTGACAGGATGGAAACTTTTAGGGAGATACTGACACAGATGTCAAGAGGATCACACACAAGGTGAATGTCAGAAGAAAAACATGCAATTTTACAGGAAAAAAGGACACAAGAAGAATAATTACGTTGTAGATATTGCCTAAATTTCAAGAGAGATTTTGAAGCATTAACAATGCTTGTAATGGCAGTTGCCAAGTGCAATCTGTCTTGACTACTCATTTTCAAGAGCTCTGCATCTATCTGAAGAGGACCCTAAGAGGGGTGAGTAAAGGAAGACTAAAAGCTTGTGGAGTTTTTTACACCAAAATAGTTGACATTACAGAATGAGTTGATGTCTACAGAAAGAGTTATGTACCTCAGGGTACAGAAGCCACACCTAAATTTCTGAACTTTCCTATATCACAACTGAACCATGCATGCTAGTTGACAGTCTATATGTGAAAATGCCCATTTGTGAAAATACCCATTTGCCATTAAAATTCCTTCATTAAAGCAACATTATCTCTGTGATTGACTGTGACAACAGTGTTCTTTGCCAATTCTGTGCCTTGCAGGATAAGAGTAGTAGGGAATTTGGTAACCTAGATAGCAGGTATATTTTGTAGGGAGTCTAGGAGCCAGCCAACTCTCACACAAAGGCTGTGAAGCACTCTGAAGAGGTCACTAAACAAACGCTAGTTTAGTTAGGAATACAGCTTGCTTGTTGCTTATTTAACGACTCAAAAAGTATATTCCTCAAAGAGGAATACTCATTTTCCAGTTCTGTTTTAAACTCCATTTCTTTAAGAGGGAAACTGATTTTTGTATAATGAATAAGATAATTCTTACCCGCACAAGTTTTTCTGAATCACCCCTCCATTTGCTGACAATGGTGGATGCTGATATGTTGAAAAAGGTTGTTTTGCATTCCGTGGCAACTGCCTTAGCAAGCAATGTTTTCCCAGTACCTACAAACATGTGTTGATGAAATTCACTCTCTGAAGAAATACAATGCAAATGTTTGAATAATTCCCCTCATCTTACTATTAGTCAGAAAAGTTCTAAAGTAGCAAATGTCCCTCTAGGATTGCCTGAAGAAATTCAGGTATTACAGCACTGCAAATGTGTTCTCCATATTCTTTCTATGCCAAGTGTGTCTAAGCATTCACTAGAACAAATGGAGTTTACTGGAATGACAACTTTTGCAATTAACTCACACAGTACTTGTGCCCTCCCTCTGTCCCCTCCCAGCCACACTCATGTGGTGGCAGTGCTTCCTCTCTTGTGTCAAAGTGGAGCAGAAGGAGCAGTGAGGCTGTGCTGAGTGGAAAACACCCAGCTAGCACAGAAGAGTGCAAAGCTTCCAACCCATTTCCAAAACGATTGCCAAATACAGAAAAGAGAAGGCAAGGACATTTTTTTCAAGAAGGTGAAGAATGCAGATTTATTTGTATTTTGCAAGATCAGGTCAAGTCAAATTTGATTAATATCATCCAAGCTGAGTAGCAACATAAATTCTTATTTCTCCTAATGGGTAGTATAAGTACTGTGTTTGTTTGTTTGTTTGTTTGTTTTTTAATATTCAAGTACAGAAATAATCAAGGGTTGTAAGAAAGGCAAATGGAGAGGTTTGAGTGAAAGCGGTGATCATCCACATTATCTTCTTTCATTTCAAATTACAGAACATGTTCTTAATTATTAATTATTATGTGATACATTAACACTTTTGATCTAATTAGCATTAATGATTTATGGACCGTACAAAAACAGAAGTAGTGACACAGGATAAACAATAGTATATCCTATGTGGATAGGCTAAAAAAACACTCCATACCTGGTGGTCCATAAAGCAATAAACCCTTCCAAGGAGACAGAATGCCTGTAAACAGTTGTGGGTACTGTGGAAACCAAAAAGTAATTCAGGGATTATAAATATAACAACATGGAAGGAATTCTAACCCTTACCCCTACTGCTCCTAACACATGTCAGAAATCTAAGAAATTGGAAGATGGGAAAAAAGAACAAAGCAATATATGATATATATGAGTACTGAGAATAATACTGTATTAACTGTATTTGAAATTGTTTTAAATGAATTTTTCAAATGCAATTGGCTTTCTGTTCTCTTCTGTAAGTCATTTTACATTTAATTAGTAAAGGCCAAATCCAGTACATTTTACATTGCCAAGGGTGCAAAATAATAGAACCCCAAACTTAAAAATTTTTCATTTTGACTTTCTCCTATGGGAGAATGGGTATTACACTTATAAATGAAACAGGAACAATTCAAACAGAAACTGCCTACAAAAGCACAAATAGTGAGAAAACTTGACCACCACTGTAATTACAAAGAAGACGTTAATGAGCTCAACGATGATTTTCTCTAATCTATTTAGTATCTTACCCTTATAGGATAAACAACTGCTTCCTTGACTAGCCTTTTAGCTGCATCCAGTCCAATAATATCATCCCACTTCACATTTGGGTTATGGAGGTAGATGTCCTGCAACATATATCAATCACATCCTGTTAGCAAAACTTAACAACTTCTCCACTAGAATAACCACCTTTGGCAAAGTAAAAGCACCGACTCAGTTATAAAACAATTGTGCTATTAAGTGATAAAAACTTATAATTTCACCTCGTGTACTAGTCAGATCTCAAGAGGAAAGCAGACACAGCAATCTTTTCCACAGAAGTGCTACAATATGCCTTGCTTCCCCTGAAACTACTAGTTTCCCTAAGAGCACATACACTGCCAAATGAGCTGCAGTTGAAGGAACATAGGTTTATAGAGACCTAGAGAAAAAGAGACTCGGGAGAGACCTTATCTCTCTCTACAACTACCTCAAAGGAGGTTGTAGCAGGGTGGGGATGAATCTCTTCTCCCAAGCAGCAAGATAAGAGTAAATGGCCTCAAGTTGCATCAGGGTAGGTTTAGGTTGGATATTAGGAAACATTTCTTCACCAAAAGGGTTGTAAGGCATTGGAAAAGTCTGCTCAGGGAAGTGGTTGAGTCACCATCCCTGCAGGTACTCTAAAGACATAGATGTGGTGCTTAGAGGCATAGTTTACTGGGAGACTTGGCATTGCTAGGTTAAGGTTGGACTTGATGATCTTAGAAGTTTTTCCCAATGTACATGATTCTATCTATATGCTGAGCAGATGTGTCTCTCAGATCTGTTTTCTGCTAGCTGGTTTTAGTAACTAGCCAACATATGAAGAACTACTGTAATGTGAAGATGTGAAGATTACATGTTTTTTGAAATGTTTGTTCTATAGCAGTAAGTTGCACAGGTTAAAATCAGATGCTATGTGAAAATACTTTTGTTTCTTTTAAACTTGCTGCTCAGTAACTTCACGGCTGCACTTATCACTGTTATAAATAATACTGAAAAATTGCTCTCTCTGTACTCCACATGCATGAAAAGGTGCAAGAAGCTTTGTACCAGGAGGAAAATTCCCCCCTAAGCATCTATCAAAATACAGTCGGTAATTAGTCCATGCCCTGAAGCACTCACTAATTTAATTTCATTTAATTCATCAAACTACCCAAATCTTCTATGAATCTTTCCATTTCCTTTAGTAATATTTTGTGGCTTTGTGTTCCAGAGACTAATTGTTCTGTAGAAAAATATCATATCCTCAATACAAATACTTGGGATAAATTCTGCTCTCTGATAAAAACAGGCAGTCTCCAGAGACTAAAGAAAAATTATGTGCTTATATCCAAGGGGAAAATTTGATTTAATACAATTAGAAAAATTATTTATATAGAGTAGATTACACTTTCCCTTTCTATTAACAGCAAATTAAGATGAATCAGATTTATGATACTAAGTAGAGGCTTCCATAACTGTTTCCAAATTAAATTAGATTGTGTTGTGAAATAGATACCACATGCTATTTATTTTTATTGATTTACACAGTGTTGATTACTATAGCAACTAGGAACATACCAACACAATTTAAAAACATATCATAATGAAGGCCAAAGTAACCCTATTTCTTGTTGCTAAAACAGCAACAAACTACCAAATCCTGTGATACTGTGAAGCCTTTTGGACAAGTACCTAGTGGGGTTTGGGAGACAATGCAAGCAAAGCATGTGTCTGCTTTGTTGCTAGACCAGTTGATCCACAAGTTGATCCCAAGGCCTGTTTGCTGGACCACACTTCAACCCATGACTGAAATAAAACGGTGCTGACAACATTGGGATTCCCTCCAGGTGTCAAATGCCCATACCAGAAGAATCCCCAGGATACAGACTCTCCAGGGCTACAGAATATTACTGATGCTTCCCATGCAGCTGCTGGGAAGAAGGAAGGGCACTGTCAGCAGTCTACAGTAACAGCACATCCCAGGTGAGCCAAGCAAGAAAAGATGATGAAGAGTGTGGATTATGCAGGCAGTGCAAAGCAAGGCACAGGACTAGTATGTAAAAAAATGTGAGAATATCAGCATCTGATAATCTTTGTACATGATATCTAGTAGATACACTCAGAATCAGGATATTGCTGTAGTACTGGCAGATCATCCACACTGAATACAGCCCAAAGCCTTGAAGGGAAATGGCACCTGCAGAGTTGAATAAAGGTTTTTCCACCATTCATAGAATGTAATACATTATACAATAGATAGTACTAGATCATATATTTAAATCAGTGTTGCATTGTACATTTTCTGTACCAGTAAGAACAAAGGTAAAAGCTAGGACAGTCCCATAGTTACAGTATGATTACATATTACATATAAATCCCTATTAGAAAGATCTTAATTACTTCCTTCTATTTTGTATAAGAAAAAAAAACATTGTTTCACATATAAAGAATGATTTTCAAATAGTCACATATTAAAAAAAAATGGCTTGCACCTTCGAGAACAAGCACTGTCAGCATTAACAAGAAAGAAACAAACTGCATTCTCAAATGACAAAGATAACCAATATCTCTATATAAACGAAACAGAAATCTGATCTTACTTTGCTTACAACTGTTGCGAGTTCTCTCATCTCACCAGTCATGCCAATAAAAGCACTAAGGGGTTTTAATAATCGTTCCTTAAAAAGACAAACATAAGTTCTTGTCAGACTTCAATTATTATAAATAGAAGAACAGTAAAATAATTTTTAAAAAGCTCATACATCATATCAACTTTCAAAGTTGTAAAATACGCATAAAGATTTTGAAGCAAGCCACATTTGTTGTAACTCATTTTTTCATCTGACAGAATCTAATCCAGAATTAACATTGAAATGAGCAGCTCTCTTACTGCATACGTAGTCCTAAACATGCCCTACACGTATTAAGAGGAATTAAAAACATAAATGTGTGTCATCACGTAGCCACATAGTCTGTTTCGAAAGTTTTTTCAAATGTAGCAATTACCAGGCAAAGTTGGCTGTGCTGTCCTAGAAGTTATAGCTCATATCAAGGAGTGATTACTTTACTGAAAGTTTCTATTCTAGCCATCTAAACTGTGTTCCTGTCTCAGCTGAGGTGAATGCTAAATAGCATACTGAATTCAAATGAATGAGAATTTCACCTCCAAAAGTACGGTGGGTTTCTGCAAATTTGTTTGTGAATCATACAGCACAATGTGTATTTGTTCCCTTCTTTTGTGTTCAAAGAGTAGACAACTGTCAACAAATTAGACCATTATCAACTACGACCATCCACTCAACAAAGAAACATACCACTCAAAAATCTAACCCCTTTTTTAGGGCTTCAGAAACAAGACAGCATTATTACAGTATTTTATTTTGTTCCTGGTGATATAAATCTGAAGATCATGCACATTGGATGAAATATGAAGAGAAACACTTACTGATGGATCTGGATCCCAATTAAGACTGTTCAAGGCTATTCCATTTGATGATACTTTGATAGCATCTTGGACCATCCCATGGAAGTCAATTATTTGGTCCTTAAGAAGAAGATAATGGTGTGATAGGCTTTTACCAAGATGATAACTCTACTGTTAAAAATGAACTGGGCCAAAATTTTGCTTAACATTATAGCAATTAGCTTCCTCGTTGTACATACAGACATAAATATGGCAAAAAGCTGACCACAAAATCTGTTGTAGCGATCAGTCAGTGTAACAATTTAACTGCAGAACCTCTTATCATTGTACTCACTAATTTCAAATTCATCTTCAATTTAGGTATTATTGCTGGGTTTTACAAACAGAAATAATGTTTCTTCTCGTCTAACTTTGAAATACTATTTAGCATAAACTAAGCCTCCTGTGCAAAAATTTACTGCCCAAATCATAAAATTGATCCTTCATCTAATTATACAGCAAAACTGTATATAAAAATATACAGAAAAAACTCACATTGGATACTTTTGAAAAACTTTTATGTGCTTTTCCTATACGCACATTTCTGACATAAATCACATATTAGGTTTCTACCAACCCTTCTTGGTTGAGGACCTTCTCCTGCTCCTCCAGATTTGTTGATTGCTGAGATGCTTAAGCCAAAGTCAGATTGCTCTGAAGTAACTGCACTGTCATTATTCTAAAGAGAAATGAATTTTGAACAGATGTGTTGCCAGGTACATGAGTTGCAGATAGCACCCTGTTGTAGGTATCATCCCCCCACTCTCCCCTGCTCCCATACTTCATACACGCCTAGATAAATTGTACTAGTACATGGTAGTTGCAAAAGTAATGTGGACAAGGATTTACATAAGACCTTATATATATAAAAATTTAAACAAGAGGCTGTCCTTCACCCAGTTCCTCAAAAGCTGTAGCAGACAGTACTTGCCCACCAACCTGCTGGTCCTGCTTTCTCCTGTGCAAGGGATGGTAATAAAGTAGTTTTTTGCAGCCATCTTACTAAAACAAGATTCACAAATCTAAAAATTACAGAGCCACAAGACTCCCACAATCTCAGACACCTTATGTACTGTGAAGATGCTTAAAACTGACACAAGACTTTCTGCTTGGTTGGTTTGTTTTGCTTTCTGATGCTAAAGGATGAATCCTTAAATCTACAGATGTCAATGGAAAGATTCCTGCTTATTTCAGTATAGGTTAGATTATATGACTTCTTTTCCTCTAATTTTGGCTTGTGACTTGCTCCCCACCTGATAGCTAGAAAGCATCTTCTCCCAAAGTCTTGCATCTATAATGCTTAAATTATATAAACAGTAAAACCCATGAGTTGTGCAAACACAGATTGTGTAACATCCTCTCATTGACTATAGCTGCTCAAAATAAAATCACATTGATTTCAACTGTAATGCTGCCAAGATAAAACACATTTGAACCTGTTTGGGGCTCTCTTTGGTGGATAATTTAAGTTCTGTTGTCCCCCCAGGTGAAGTTTTTGATGATGGTCGTTGTACTGTCTGATGTTTCGTCCTTGGAAGATTCTGAGAAGAGCTTGCTGCCCTAGAATGCAAGTTATATCTTCAAAGGCTTTCATAACTTTTTTTTTTTCTTCTTCAAAATACCAAAGATTAAAAGGCACAGTTTTCAAACAAAGCAATTTGAGGCTAACTTTGCTCCCACTGAAGTTAAGCCATCAGTTTCAATGACACAAACGTTCAATGCTCACAGCTTTCAAACACTCCAACCCCACCTTATCCCACACTGCAGAAACTTTGCAGATTGTCTGTAAGTCCAGTTGGGAAGTAAACCTTTATTTTTCTCTAAAAGATAAAGAAAAATCCACCACACAGTGTCAGGGGATTCTAGGCTAGTTTAGTATCCCTACAGTATCACAACATTATTATAACTAGGCTGCATATTACTCTTAGAGGAAACTTTTCTGCCCAGAAAAAGACCCATGCATTTCGCTTACCTTCTATTTTTTCCTGCAGTTCTCAGCTGCTGTTTGTTTTCTGCTGCAGCAAAATTAATATTAAAGTGGAAAATAATTAAGGATTATTATTTTTAAAAGGACAACTTGCTTTCCTTCCCCCCCCCTCAGAAATATTTCTGAGCATATTTTAATGACCTTGGAAATACAAAAATGTAAACAAGAACAGCATGATTCTAAGCACTACAAGCTTGCAAAAATATTTCAAAAACAAACAGATTGAAGAGAGCAGTTTGGATCCAGGCTTGTTTAATTTTTAGGCCCATTCAATTTTTGACATATTTCATCATATTTTTAAAACAAAACTCTACACTGGTCCAACCTTACCTTAAGTGCAGTGTGGTTTTGGACTCCACATCACGAAAAGGACATAAAAATGCTAGCAAGTGTCCAAAGGAGAGCTGAGGCCCCTTGGTTTGCTCAGCCCAGAGCAGGGCAGGCTGAGGGGAGGCCTCATGGCAGCCTGCAGCTCCCTCACGAGGGAAATGGAGGGGCAGGCGCTGAGCTCTGCTGTCTGGGGACAGCGACAGGACCCGAGGGAATGGCATGGAGCTGGGACAGGGGAGGGTCAGGCTGGGGGTTAGGGAAAGGGTCTGCACCCAGAGGTGGTCAGGACGGGCTCCCCAGGGCAGTGGGCACAGCCCCAAGCCTGATGGAGTTCAACAAGCTTTTGGACACCACTCTCAGACATGGGGTTTGGCTTTTGGGTTGGTTTTAATGCAGGTGACAAATGACCATGCAGCAATTTCTCAAGTGAGATGTGCAGTAGGGAGGCTGCTTCTGCTTCAGGGACTTGGGCAGATGCATCTCTGACAGCCTGGTGGCAATTCTGGGCTTGTGTAATGAGTACCACGTCTGGGTAGCTTTACTGACCAAAAGTGGGTACTGAGGGCTTGTAAAATGTCCAAGAGATTTATTGGCTTTGGGGAATAGTTCACTTGGGTCTATGTTCATGGACCCTAGCCTTGGCTACCACTCAGTTTGACTAAGTTTGATGTAATAAATGTTTTGTAATACAGTTTCCTTCTTGATTCATAACAAATCCCTTTGGTTTTGTCCTGCAGGGCTGCTCTTCTTTGTATTAACACCAGTCAATAAGTTCTAGCTGTAAATCTCTCCCTCATGCAGATAGTTTGCTTCCAGCTAGTACTGATCTTCTGTATCACCCTTAATGTCATGATGACTACTAGTTTTACTGCCTTTCAAAATCATTTCACCTATCCAGGTAATTTTATTATGGTTGTATAATATTCCATTTACCTGGGATTTCAAAGTTGCTCGCTGTCATATGCAACAATGAAAACTGCTTGAAGATGTTCCCAGACCATCACCCCTCCCCTGATGACTACATTTTTCTTACAAGAAATATCGGAAGAGATGCTGGTGTTTTCTACACCCTCCCAAGCTCTTCGTAACTGACTCTTATGCAGTTGTTCTTATGACTTCCGTAAGTTACATTTTGTACTCAAGTACAAAATCATTCAGGATCTCACAGTCATAACAGAACGCTCATGTTCTGCTCTGCCTTATTCTGCGTCATTCATTTATATCTCAGACTCTTAAGTCCTTTGGAGAAAATATATTAAAGGTAATGTGCCAAATGTGTAGGTTTATAAAAATACAGAAAATAAATGGTAAATGAGATTAGTGGTAACATACTTTAAAGAACTAGCTCGGATGAGCTAAGATGTAATATCTTGTTTAAGTGGTTTATTTTACTTTAGAGGTTAAATACAGAATGGAATGGACTTACTATTCTCTCTCAATTAGAAGAAAGAGAGAGTATATCCATGTCGTTCTGCAGTTCCATGGCATTTTCCAACATTGAACTTGTTTTAAAAGACTGAAAAATACATTCATCTTGTCCCTCTACATAAAGAGGGAATGGGAGAACAGAAAGGATGAAAGCCCCATCTCTTAATTCTTATGTCCTAGGAATATAGATCTATAAGAGAGTTCAAACATTGAACATGGACATACATGCGAAGGGTTGGGAGTACATCAGGCAAATATAGTTTTTAGGCTTAGAAAAACCAGAAGCTTTCTTTAGGAAAACAGCCACGTACCAGTGTCCAGGACCTTCTTGGTAATTTTAGGATATTTTTGAAATTTTACAAAGTAATAGCTTTCATATTCCATCAAAATTGTCTCAAGATCAATGTTGTCACAAACTTCAAAGCCACGTAAGCCTAATGTTGTCTCTTGTTCCAAAGCATTTGCAGCATCGATATACCTGGTAATTTCAAAAAAATGAAAGAAGAAAAACCTGAGTTATTACTTTACTGTGATTTTTGAGAAAAAAAAAAAAAAAAACAAGCAATGGCATTAGTAAATATACAGTAGTTTTAAGTTGTCCACATCTCTTTTTTATTATAAAAGCCATAAACTGTATTTAAAAATACTTTCAGCAAAGGATTGATCTTACATATTTGGCAATGATATAGGACACTTTTGTGTTTTGTGTCAGGAACTGAAACAAATTAGCACAGCAGGCTGTCAAGTTATTTAATAATAGTTTATTTCTTTCTCATATGGAAGCAGAGGGCCTTGCTGTCCATTTGTCCAACAGAGGACAGAAGTACATGTTATGGGAGGTCATACACACAGAAACACAAATGGAGGACACTATTATTTAAATTACTTACCCTTCCTCCATTAAGTAATGCAAAATTAGAATGAGGAGATTTTTTCGACGAGCTTCTGTTCGCAGCTCATCCTGTGAATTAAGACAGAACTCTAGATCAAATGTAATATTCTCTTTATTGCTGTAAACAGCATCTAAATGTAGCCTGTGGAAACAAACAAATTAAGACAACAGCATGTAAGAACTGTAAAACAACTCACTGTTAATAAACGGAAGTAAAGTGGTTTTGAATGCAATTTTTCTTACACATTATCAGGGCTAGTGGATGGGTAGAAACCTTTTCCTAGAGAAAAGAAAATTATCTTGAGTTTGAAAAATAACTTCCTGGCTGTGCTACGACTATGAACCTCCAACAGGTTCAGGCAGTTGTGAATTTCAGGGTAGGGCTCTTGCAGACCTCATGCACAGCACCTCCAAGAGCTGTGCAAGCAAACCACATGCTCCACTGTGGCTGCATCCCTCCTGTGCAATTAGAAACCCATTTTCTGAGCACTCAAAGTGATTGAGAACAAGCCAGCAATCTGCACAACTACACTACATTATGCAGACCTGCTGCACACTGTTGACACCTCCTATCTTGTGTGCCTTGATACATAGACACAAAGGAAATGCACTTGAAGAATTAATAGTTTTGGTTGATGTCCAGCTTGCCCAATTTTAACACAGAAGTGACCCATGTCAGGTCCTGACAAAGAAATTTCAGGCCAATAGATTTCCTCACACAGCCTGGAGAGACCAAAGGGATTCACAAATGGTTCAGAGACAACAACAAGGCAGAGTAAAACATCTCTGCCATTTTTCAGTGAAGCTACACCTGTGGGAGTATACAGTGTAATACTGAGTATAGCAAAAGGGGCACTGGAAACTAACCTAGTAAGACGCTGGAAAAAAGCTTTACCCTGATGAAAGTTACCATATATGCATATATGGATGTCTCCAGACGTAAACTCTGGAATCTTAGGGTCATAACAGAAGTCGCTACAAGGTCTAATTGACCTTGTAGCAACTTCTAGAAATCATAGAATCATAGAATATCCGGAGTTGGAAGGGACCCTTAAGGATCATCAAGTCCAACTCTTGACACCGCACAGGTCTGCCCAAAAGTTCAGACCATGTGACTAAGTGCACAGTCCAATCTCTTCTTAAATTCAGACAGGCTCGGTGCAGTGACCACTTCCCTGGGGAGCCTGTTCCAGTGTGCAACCACTCTCTCTGTGAAGAACCCCTTCCTGATGTCCAGCCTAAACTTCCCCTGCCTCAGCTTAACTCCGTTCCTGAAGCTGGGATCACAGGAAACACAGATAAGGACAAACCCATATTTAGGTAAATAAATTACTGATGGTCTCTTTGAAGATGCTGGCTTTCAGCATTATTCTTGAGGACCCAACAAGAGTACAAGGAACTGGCACTGACTTAGTAGATTGGAAAAGAGCAGCGGTTTTTATGTTGCTTGCACAGCAGATACATATTGCTGACTGTGTTTTGCATGTTGCCTGTACAGACACCTGGCCCCAGCTTCTACCGCACCCAAACAGTGGCTGCCTCCATCCCAGAGAAGCCCAGCCCAAGCATTAGGGCTCTGCAGGCCACCAGCCCACAAAGCTTTGCCCCCTTCACGCTGGAAGGCAAAGCTTCAGCTTTGGCAGCAATGACTTCTGCTGCACTCTGCCACCGCACAGCATGCAGACAAGTGAAAGAGTTACTACTGATCGAGGCTTTATGCTTTTAAATCCCAAAAGATGCATAAAAGGAATATTCGCAGAGCAAGGCAATTACACTACCCTTCTTAGTTTCTTGGAATGAAGCACCACCACAGAAAACTGCAGATACTGGAGAAATCTTTATTCTTCCAAGCCAGGGTGCTTTTGGGTGGTGCAACACACTGCAAAACCAACTTACCTCTTCACCTATCTGCTCCCTCAGCACTGCCCACAGCAGCAGGGATCACACAGCTTTCTGCTGCCTATTTGCATGTTTCAGATAGCACATTCAGCTACTGTTGTTTTTTTTTGTTGTTGTTGTTTTGTTTTGGAACTAATGCCTAGCAGTGTGTTTGCCAACCTGTAAAAAGTACCTGGCAGAGGAGGCAAAAGGTCAGCCAGTACAGCAGGTATTTTCTAGGGTGTTTGCTTCAGACGTGGGGCCATCTAGTGACACGACAAGGAAAGGGCTGGGGTTTGCTTTTAACGTTTCCTGCCAGTTGGAAATGTATTTGTATTTCACATATTATTAAATGGATTGGTAAAATCTTCATTCTGGTGTTGTAGCCAAAGGAATTAATCTGGATGGGAAATGAGGAAGAAATCACACACCACTTCTCACTTTTTCTACTTTTTCTTGTCTTGGTAAAGTCACACAGCCACCCTGTTTCCCTGTCCATAATGAAACTACAATACCATTTGCCTTTCACTGGTGGTACAAAGATGATTTTTGCAAACCATTTCAGGCAGGAAGAGTGCTCTGCAAATGCCCAATAGATCAACAACTTCTGAATGAAGTTGGTCCATTCCAGAGAGGTGCTGCAAGCAGAAACAAACTGGTAATAAGAGACAAATGCAAAGAAAAATTAACTGAAAAATGAACCCCACATATCAAAGGGTGAGATCGCAGCAGCCTCTGAGTATTTACAACATGGTATGAAAACACAGTGGTTGCCACAGGTGACAAACACATCAAGTGTTCTGTGTTTGAGTATTTACAGTAATGCTGGGAGAGGAATTGCATCTGTCTGATGAACTGACGAGCTCACGATCAATGCTTGAAAACAGTCTGTATTCTTGTCTGTCTTTTGCTGTTAGTTCCAACAGGTTACTTCTGCTGTCTCTAGAGGTATTTTAAATCCTAGTTTAGACAGTGATGGACAGCAGCTAAAATACTCTTCTAGGCAGAGACTTGCCTTGAGATGCATAGGAGAGCATCATGTACACGTACTCACAACCCACTCCAACCTCACCATAACACTGCTCTTCTTGGGTTGGCCAAGCAGAAGCAAAAGCCAACCTTTATACCTAATAAGAGTCCCATCTAAAAATCAGAAGATAGTATAGACTGAGAGGTTAATTCTATGTTTATCTTTTGTTAATAACAATGCAAATAGCAATGGCTAATTTTAGGAAGTTAGCCATCTGTCCAAAGTTAACTAAGCATTACATCAGTTGATTAACTGACAGAGACTTGCATTAGATTGGGTTGAAAAACAGAACACAAATATCAAAATCTCTGGTCCCAGTCCTGTGAACAAAGAGAAATGAGGGACCTTTCCACACATACCTCTTACCAAATCAGAAATCTTACCAGTTGGTTGCAAACAGACCTCTGCTTCCTTGACCACTCCCATCCAGCCACCTCTCCCAGCCATTTGCTACCATGTCCCCTTTCCAACTGGCACACAAACCCCCACACGTGCCACTGTCACCAGCAACTGCACACATGACCAGCTCTCTGTCCATGCCCATCTCCCTTCTGAAACCCAGTTCAGCCCCTAGAGACTGGCCCTCACTCCAAATATATCCACAAAACCTGCCTGACAGTGCAGACAGACAATAACACTGCCAGGACTTCAGCTGCGTGTAGGGTGGCAATGGTAAATCTTACACTGCGTGAAAAAAATCAGAGTACTTACAAGTACAAAGTTACTTAAAATTCAGTTTAGCTTTATAGCGATTTAGCCTTCCTGTTTAATTAGTATTTGGAACTGCACGTTGTTTATAGCCACTGGTATTTCAATAGATGTTTAAGTGTTTAAAGTTTAATAAGCTCCTATTCTTAAAAGAACAAAAAATGTATGTAATTAAATTTTCAATTACTACAGGGGATTTTTGGGTCCATGCAATTAATAAAAGCTTAAGGCACTTAAGCGTGATCTTGTTTTAAAAACTAAATAGTTGAGCACTTAACTAATTATCTCCAACACTTATAGTGTATTTTATTTATTTCTAGCTTAACAAAAGAGTGGTACATACTCCTTTCTTTGCAGCCATTTAAAATTAAACTCTATTAGAGTCATGCATCTTTAACTGCAATTGTTTGTTTAGTTATTTAGTTACATACCTTTTACTAAAATGCATTTACATTGTAAATCAACCTAGTCTCTGGTGCAATCCCATCAAATTAATGGAGCTACTAAAAGATTAATTTAACCCCACAATGTTTCATTAGTATCTGACCCCGCATTTCTGCATGAATATGTATGACTGCGTGAAGAACAAAGTTGGAGAGTAACTCACGGTTGAGAAGCTCTGAAGTTACAACCCTACCGCTGTAATGTTTCACCCTTGGACATCCAGCTGGGGCCACACCTCACTAAGATGACTTCAGAGGGGTCTGATCAGGGATTCATCAAAGCGGCAAGCAGTTAGCTCTGTAATCACATCAGGGAAGACCTTATCATAAGCACATGGTGTCCTTCCCATCCTGGGCCTCTGTGACCCCTGGCAAGTGCAAGCTGACCCCCTGAGCCAGGACAGCGAGCAGTGCTGAGGCATCACAGACTCCACCACTCCCTACCCTCAGTTTTTCCTCTCTCCTAGCCCTTTGCACGTCGTAACTGAAGCCTTGCCAGCCTTTTTAGAAGGCTGGTGTTCAATTATTGTTTGGCGTCCTGACAATATTTTTTGAAACATGAGCAGAGAAGGGAAATGGTGAGTTTTAAACAATGTATAAGTTGGCTGCCATTGAATAGAATTTCCCAGCACAAAGAGAAGATGCTTCTTTAGGCTGTTCTCTCTTCCAAATTATACAAGGCTGCTGCAAACAATTGAGTTGGCAAAGTTTCTCAACAGGGATTAGAAATAGCTTTCATAATTAAAACCATACAGCAAGCTCAAAACTGAAGTTATAGCTGTCCTAGTAATAACACTAAGATGCATTTGAGAGGTATTACATATGAAATCTAAAGATGTTAAAATTTGAGTCTGATGCACTGAAAATCTTCCAATTCCTCCCCTTTTGCAGTAGTTACCTGCTGTCGTTCACGAATTCATGCTCTGGTGTCAAGGGCTTTCCACAAATGCCACTTGTGGAGCACTATTACCTCCCTCCTCTACGAAAACCACTGCTGAAGTCAGGTTTTACATTGCCAAGACCTCACTAATTTGAAGCAAAATGTATCTATGAAAAATGCATTAAAATGAATGGCATCTGGTATGGTGAGTTATTAAATGGTACAAATTTAGAATGCTGAGTTTACAAACTAATTAATAAGCATTAACTCTCCTACTTATTTGTGGAAATTTGCTAAGTTACACTACAGTTTGCAATAATATTGCTTTTTGAGAGTGATTTACAGGACAAACATAGAAAATACGTGGCAATGAAAACCAGTGAGATGCCTCACAAAACAGATTTCTGGGATTTTACACCTACACGGAGGTGCTGTGAATAGCCATAGAACTGTACAGCATAAACACATCATCACTACCAAACTGCTCTGGTGAAATCTCACATCTGTGTGAAACGAATAGTCCATCCTTCTTCCATCTGGGGCCTCAGATCAGCATTTCTGCTTTTTTCCCAGCAAACCAGTATCCCTCTCCCTTCCCAACCGTGCATCTTGCTCCTTTTCTCTCCCAACTCCAGAGCCAAGCATTCAGCAGTACAGACACAGAGATGTGAGATGAGCAAGAAGCACAACTCTGGCGAAGCCAAAGTGCTGCTTCCCTGTGTCTGCACCCCTGGCATGCTCCTCCCCACCACCATCCTCCCACTCTGAGGGGCAGCATCTCAGGTACGACTCTTGTTTCTGGCTGCAAGGTGAAGCTTGAGGTACAGGCTGCATGTCCCTGCGAGGGACGTGCCTGCTCCTCTGCCTCTCTGTGATCCCAGCTGCTCAGTTTGGCCAGACCAGAAAATCCTGCTGCTAAAGGGTATGTCAGAACACACCGACCTGAGAGAAAAGCAACAAACTGAGGGCAGCGAAAGGCTGGTTTGTATCAGTGCAAAAGATGAATTTGGCTCAAGCGAATAAAATATTTAGCTAGGCAAATGCTCACACCCTTTACTCATTACCATTAAATAGCTGAGATTGGACTGAAATTATTC